GTACCAAGAGCAACCCAGGTCTAGAGAAAGACATTGGAGATGTTTAGTATGTCCTACAAAACAGTACATTTGGCCAAGAATTTACTGTACAATATACAGATGTTATTAACTTATGTTTTTCACTAATTAAGAACAAAACTACAAAAAAGTTACATGYTCATTTTAGGTGTATGCACAAAAAGTTGTTTTTGCTTTCTTAAGAGAGTATTTTCTTGGAACACTAGAACTTTTCTATTTAAAAATCAAGATTTGGTCTGTCTTCAAAAAGAGAAGTCCACAGGAAAGGGAGTTTGTTTGCATGATAACATAGGCAGTTTATAGTGAGTTTCCATTTAAGAAAAAGCATATTACACTTAATGAAGAAACATCAAGCTTTCCAGCACTGTGATGTTCTCTTTTCTTACAGCCACAATGATTTAACAGCTATTTTAATGGCTTTGGGCAAGGTTATTGAGGAGCATCCCGTGCCTCACACATACATCTGTGAAGTATGTGCCTAAGTAGCTGGGGCTGTATTTCATACTTGTGTAGGTAATTTGAGTTGTGAAAAAATAGTTATTAGAAAAATACCCCAAACAGATAGTGACTTTTATTCTGGTATTTCTAGCTCTGATCATTTATCTGTCTGGAGTCAAATCAAGAGCATGATGTATAACCTACAAAATAATTTGCATGATTGCATCTTGTTAAACTAAGCAAACCACCTGTTCAAATAAGCAGGTCCTATTAAAAACCAGATGTTTTTTTCTGCCAAAAGCAAATGGAGGATGTACAAGGTAACAAAGCACTGCTGACCAACCTTTAATCTTTGTCAAAACATGCAAATTTCAAATATCCTGCAAAAACAGACACATCATAACACTTCTAAAAATGTCATTGTTTCACAATATTGCTGTTAAATGTGACCTTGATTCTTTTTCTCCCATTTTACTTATTGGTGTTATCCTAGAACGGCACTAAGCAAACAGAAACCAGGAAACTGAGCTTGCAAAAAAGCAACTGGGCTCTATCTCCACATGCAGCTTCTGCCCTCAGTGCCTGTATTGTGTCCACAAACTGCCTTTTAGAAGGCCATTTTTTAATGCACATCAAACTCAAAATGCCACCTTCTGTTAAAGAAAGGTTAGAAATAAAACTGGAACAGTGCAGCTACAATAAAGCAAGACACATTTCAGTCATGAGAAAGTGTTTCTTCTCTGCACAAGGATGTGATAATATTAAGGGTCAATGCTGACAATATCTTTTAATGAACTTAATCTAAGAAAATTAGTAGTTCTCATAGTGAGAACATGCCCTCATTATCTGTATTCCTACAGGCAGCCATTACACCTACTCATTCTATTTTTATTTTCCCTACATAGCAAAGTTGGCAAGGAAAATGCCTCAAGATCTCCCCCTGGAAAGCTTTTGATTTTGGCCTGTGCTCATAAGACTCTTAAACACCTCTGAGAGTCCTATCACCTTCAWATACATCAGTGTGATACGGGGAAGTGATTTTATCTCCTTCTCTAGAGTACAAACAGCACCAGACCCTTGTACCAGTAGAAATTAGGTATATAAGTGCACATAAACTATTCCAGACGCAGTGTGAAACTTCTCCAGCTCTGAGAAGTCATCAATAATTAAACTGCAAAAGTATGCTAAATGCAGGCCATTGATGTTCTTTATGATCAGATAGCAGTGGAGTATTGTGCCCCTTTCAGCACAAATTAAATGATATTCTAAAGTTTCCAAAGCCTTGAAGTCAAAACACAGATTCTGATGTGTTATAAGGAAATGCAAAAGAGCCACTGGTAACCCTGTTTGCAGTAAGGAGAGACACTTTTTTTTTCTCAACAAAACCAAAGTAACACATGAAATCCAAAGCCAATACCTACCCAGTAGGGGAAAACATCAAGTTTTAGTCCCTGAGCTGCCACTGACCCAGTGAGACAAGATTGGTTAAATTTGTTGGGGTTTCGATTCTTTGAGGATTGTTTTCTTGTGTTTTTTTGTGAATTCAGATTGCTCCTTTTGTTTGGTTTTGGTCTCCCCCTCATCCTTTTCTTCTGCTATTCCAACATTATAAAGTTGCAATGGAGTTATAAGAAAAACTCAAAAAGCATCACATGCACCAAAAAGAAAAATCAAAACATCACAACTAACAAGGCTGTTGGAGGAAGGGCATTTAAGCTCGCTTTTCCCATGTATGGTGTTGTCAGCGTGGGACAGCCACCTAACCTGGATGCCCAGTTAAGACTGTCTCGTGCTACTTCCTTTTTATTAGCCTGAGGCATCTGATGATAGTACCCACTACTTCACTGTCCATCTGCACAAACAACTTAGGGAATTCGTGTAAATTTTTTCTATGGAAGGACAATTCCAATGTTGGCTCCATAAAATAACTTAGATGGCGGTACAGAAAAGCCTGTCTCCAAGTTATATTCCCAAAAAATTATCCCAGGAGAGCTTTATTCTCTTATCCTTACAGTAAATTACTTTTCTTGACTCAGAGCTTTAAGATTTTATTGCTTTTTAAGTTAGTGATAAAAGATTTAATCACAGATTTGTTAGATTCAGCCCCTGAACACAGGCTTTTCCAGAACCTTCAGAGCTCCATCAGGAATCACAGTAGAAGTTCCCAGCTACAAATAGTACTGGAAAAATTTTGGATTTACCATGGATTTCCTCCCAGTAACAATTCACAGCTTGAGTTTAGCGATAAAGAAACCCATCATCATGTCCCCAACGCCATCTGGGAGATCAGGCTTTTGGCAGAGAGAAATGGAGCAGCGATTGCCAGCAGCTCAGGAAATCAATGACTTCCCCACTCAGGGCTGAACAACAGGCTGCYCCTGCTGAGCAGGAATCACTAGTTTCCCTCGCTGCCAGCAAAGCCACACTGTGCATGCACACAGCAATGTTTCTGTTAACACTTGCAGGCCACACACATCCTTTCTTCCAAACCCTGACTTTATCAGGAGGGCTCGGCAGCAAGCTACACAATTCCATGTGTATATCCAAAAAGGGAAGGGGTGTGGAGATGGCAGTCTCTTGGGAGAGCTTCTGGACAYGAGGGTTTCAGGCTACAAGGCAGGTAACAAATGTCCCCAGCGCACCACTCAAAGGCCATGAGTTGACAAAGGATTCAACAGAACTATGCCAACATAAAGGCCATGAAAACCTGGTCTTCCCTTTCACCCTAGCAGTAGGATAACACGAGATAATTTCAGGAATTAAGAGTTCTGAAACAGGTGTAAAGGGTTTTTTTTTTTGTTTGTTTTAAGCACAATCGTTAAAGGGGAGTTTCAAATGTAAAAAGATAAAAGCGAGCATATTATCCAGGAGAATGYTGGTATCCTTCCAGGCTGCACTTCTGCAGAACTAAACCACAAGTTTATTTACAAATACAAAACAAAGCATGTGCACCCTTTTTTTACTGAGAGGGTTTGCAGGAAMTGGAATAATCATTCAAGATCTTCTGTCAGTGTCATAGCAAAGACCACCACTGACCTCTGCAGCTTTAAACTCTTTCCTCAAATTTACTAGCCTTAGTGTTCCCTGGAGTATGAAGCAAGGTAAGGAAGGACAGGAGATGAGAGTTTCCCCCAAAACATGCTGCAGACAAAAAGAATTTCACATCCCCATTTTGCTCCAGGACCAAGTTCCCAAMCAAGTCACAATAAGGAGATCATTACAGGCATGCACATAGTCACCAAGAACTGTAGTACTGTGTGTAACTGGTGTCAGAGGTTACTGACACAAAACAGCAGATGGAAGGGGCTTCTGGTCAAGCCAGACTTGGCCTGGATTTGAACCAGTGCTCGGAGGGTGCTGCTGTAGCTGCKCCTGCACATCAGCCCCAGTGACTGCAGATATGTCAGGACTGCACCAGATCTTGCTGAGCATTTATTTACCTGTAYCGGGCATATTTGGCAACATCTCCCAACAGCAACACTGTTTGCTGCATGTCTGTGAATCACTGAACCTAGAATCTGAGAAATCAGATTCAGAGAATCTGAGATGATTCTCTGATGAGAATCAGCTGTATTACAGCAGAAATATCATGATCCCTAGCAGCTTCTGGCTTCTCAGGAAGACTTCTTAATTTTAATAAGTTACATCTGTAAATGCAAATATCTGCCTTATTTCTCTAGAGTCACCATTGCTCTAAATCAATTCAGGTCACGCTGAAATTAGCCTTGCCCTTCACCAGGTTAAGAGCTTCTCCAGTTTTGCTATGGTTAATGCATGTCCATAGACAAATTACAAATAAAGTGAAAGACAAAAAAAAAAGTAGGATTATTCTGTAGTATTTTTCTCGTGTCCCTCTACCCGCCAAAGTTCAGTAAGAAGCCTCTTAAAAATCTCACTCTGCTGCAATTTAGTGAGCCAGCAAAAAAGAGACACTACTTGAAGGTTATTTCACAGAAGAAATAGTATGCAACCTACAAGAGACTCCTCGATAAATGTGAGCACAACACATAATCCTACCTATTTTCTTGCAAAAGGGAAAAAAGCTCATTCATTTTCTAAGCTTGCACCTTCTATATTGTCCATTTTAGGTGAACAACATTAATCATTTAATCACTCTGGACAGCAGTAGATCTGCATTTATCATGGTGAAACGTGTCCTCACTGTTGGTTCTTACAGTTTAAGGAAAGCCAAGTAAAATGACTCATAAAACTRCTGCAAGAAAAAGCTGAAACACATTAACAGAATGAGCTTCTTTTAAGTGACATCCTTCATCCCACGTTTCTGGTGTGCAGAGCCAAAACCACATCACACTTTCAACTGAACAGATTCAGAGCTATTATTTCTCATAAATGGCAAGATCAACCCCAAGGCTTCATGGTGTTCRTGAGCTTTTCACAGATCTTAAAGCACACTATAAGCAGTAAAAGGCCTGGCTGTACATTCTAAAGCAAGCAGGGCTTTTTTTCTACTAATGTACAATTCTTTTTCTTTTGGACAATTGTATTTTCTTCATGCTGAGAATGGTCATCATGAAAATTCTTACCTGTTTTCCATCTAATGTGTACAAGCGTTTAACCACCCCCGAATCCAGCTTGATGGCATCAGTTATGTCAGTAAGAACCTGTTCAAACGAATGCGCTGTCTTCTTATTGAGCAGAATCCGGACTGCTTTCCGCGGCTTCACTCCACTCCTGATGATAGTGACCAGTTTGGGCCTAATGAAATCCTTATTCTCTTTTGTATCTGGAGTACCTCCTTTAGCAGTGGCAAGAGATGGCACTGAACGAGAAGTAGAAGATGTCTTAACATTCACTGACCAGTTTGGGTTTACATTCTTTGTGTACTCCAGTTTCTTGAAGGGTTCTATGGAACCACACACATAGCTTTCCCCTGTGGAAATAAAAGCAGAAGTCCAACAAGTCAGATTGGTGAGAGAGAGAGGGGAAAAAAAGAAAAGTAAAAAAAGCAAATCCTTCTCAAATTATTAAACATTATTCTTATCATTCTTGATCATAAAGCATTTATCTCTTCCCTTCTCAGATGCTACTGACTATAAAACCAGTGATCTTTTAATGATCACTYTTCAGCTAACCATTCAAGAAATGCTGTTACAAAAATCCTTGAAAGCAGCATTTCTTTATCAGAAAATAGTATTTGCAGAGGGGATCACTGCTGTCAGTAAACASAGTAAACTGTGTTCATATTTTATCAGCTGCCCAGCCCAAGCACATTATCACGGTACTCCCCCAGCCTTCACACTTAAATGGCCCACTCCTAACAAAACAGCAGGCCCCAAAGGCATCTGAGGATATAATATGAAACATTACAAAAAATATAGCCTGCAAATAACTTTTTATAAAAAGATGGATGAAAATGTCACAGGAGATTTGTTAACATTTGATTATTTAAATCTTTAGGCATCATAAACCTAGAATATGTACAGGCAATAAACCTCCCTGTATTATTTACTGACCCAATATAGGATAGGAAGACAAAGAGTAGCAATTCCAGACTTATCACAACAAATTTACCATACTTAAAAGAAAAATAGAGGCTATTAGTTCCTCTTTCTGTTGGAGCATTATCTACAGTAACTTTTTTTTTTGCCATACCCACACAATTTCTGGGGACTGAGAAGACAGCCAGAAAACCCAGCAGCCTGCAGATTAGCACCAGAATCCAGCCCAGCTGAAGGCTGCTGTGTGAGGGGCACCTGCTTGGGTGCTCCCAAACTCTCCCTTGAGTGTGACTGTGTGTCCATGCTGGTAGTAGCACTGGATGAGTTGGATCAGCTTAGTGATCTGATTGAGTGTACCAAAGATACTTCTAATTGTGCAACATCAAGCTGGTCCAGTTCATCCTCTGTCTGGGTAAAAAACAAACAAACAAACAGAAAGCAACAAAACAAAAACAAAACCTCAAAAAAACCAATACTAGATCCAGCAAAACCACACCTTCTTTCACAAATRAAGTAAAATCCTATCCTGAACAAGACCACAGAGACACCTGAGATGTTTTAGTTCTTCTGGGTTCCAGAGTTCACTGTATGCTAACAGCACTGATGCCTTCATGTCAGTAGTTTAGAACACGGTAATAAAACCAGAACAAAACTCAGTGATGCACCTCCTATAGCAAAAAGCATGTAAGAACTAAAGATGCTCCTAATGACCCCTGCCCTAAGGAAAGAGGACTCCTAGTTCAATCATTAAAAAGAAAAGTATTTAAAATTCACTTCTGRACAGGAATTTTAAAGTTTGAAGGCAACCAACCCAATCACACAGACATGACAGCACAAGGAATACAGGCAGATACACAGAACCATCACATTGAGAAATGTGGGTGGGAAACACTGGGTCATCAGGCTTGGATAAATTTAAGCTCTTCCTTTTAGCCACTGTATATACATAATACACACAGACAAATATGAATATGGTAACATCCAAACAGAAGGGCTCAGCGACAGTGATGAGTGGTCAAGCAGTGCACATTCCCTTTTATCTGTGCCCCTGTGCAATATTTCTAGCACTAGCTACCCAATTACTGCCAGTCAGAATGCACCCACAGCACCACAACCATAAAATTAGCAAGTTTTAAGGGGAAAAAAAATAAATCCTACCATGAGTAAGACTGCTCTCAAATCAGTAAACACCTGCTCTATAAAATAATTTGCAAAAGTCTCTTTTATGAGTTTTTAACCAAAATTTATTATTCTCTTTATTGTGTTTGCTGTAAGATATAAAATCCAGCAGAAACCTCTTATTTTATTTTTTTTGGGGGGGGATATAAAATTCGGATTTTCAGATTAGGTTCTGTTCTCTTCAGTTGCACAAAGTAACATTTATTTAAAAACAAATGAAAACTCACTTCTCAAAAGGTAGGCTCATAAATAAATGGCAATACCCAGTTGCATTAGGTCTGACTGAGGTAAAGCTCAAGCCCTTCCAGTGCTGTGCTTTGCATGAGTGGCTGGACAGGAGCTGATAACAGACCAGTGTTTTGGCTATTGCCAAGCAGCGCTGTCCCTTCCTTCCCCCTCAAAGGAATTCCTGGAGTGGGTAAGATCCTGGGAGGGGACAGGACTAGGCCAGCTGACCCAAAACAACCAGAGGGATATTCCATACCATATGACATCAGCCCAGATATATAAGCGAGGAGAGAGAGAAGGAAGGGGGGGCATTCATGAGTTTTCAATGTTTGCCTTCCAGAGCAACCACTATGCATGCTGAAATCCCTGCTTCCCGGGAAGTGCCCAAACAACGCTGCTAATGGGAAGTAGAGATTGATTTCTTTTTTTTCCTTTAGCTTTTGTGCATGCAAGTCTTTGCTTATATCTTGTATCTTTGCTGTAATAGAACTACTTTATCTMACCCTGCTGCCTGTTGGCCATCTTACTCTCCACTGTCCCAGAGGGAAAGGGAGTGATAGGGAGACCTAGTGGGTACCTGGCATCTGGCCAGGGTCAACCCACAACAAGCTTTCTTGGCGCCCCAACATGAGGAGAGATAAAGGTAGTTATATATATATATATATATATACACACACACACACATATACTGCATGCTCTAGTAATTCTCTAATAATTGTAAGTAATAGTTCTCAAGTAGTAAAACTCTGAGCTCCTGTGTGGCATACAGCCTTCGGTGGCCACATTGCTTATCTTTATTTTGCTTCRTCTGGGAAGATGTTGAAACAAACAATTACTATGAAGGAACATAGCTCCTTCTCTCTGCCTGGAGTAAATTTGAGTGTGGATGATCTTTTGATGCAGGTTCCCATGGTCTTTGCTAATCCTTATATAAGCTGTCTGATGATATTAGTAATACTAGCCAATAGCTTTGTTACCCTATGGAATTCAGGGAMTTTGTCATCATCCCAGTACAAGAGAAAACAACCTCTGAGTGAGTAGCTGTTAAAATCTCCCCCGAGACACCCAGTTCCTGGGTGGAAAGGTGTKTGGAGAGATTTGGGCAGGTTCCTAGGGCGATTATCACCTCCCATTGCCTGGGACTTTACCCCTGAAGTAAACAACCCTGACAAACTAGCCCATCGATTGACAGAAGGGTGTCTTGCTTACACCCACGAATGTGAGCAGCTTCTTGCCCTGTACTGRGGCCTGGCCTGGGCCTACCRAGCCTCTGTTCAACATTCCCAGAGGCCTAGGAGTCAAGTAGTCGAGGCAGGAACCCAAACTGTGTCTGAGRACCCTGTGGCTGAGGGAAGAACAAAAACCACAACATCTATGGCTGAGATAAGGACCCAAACCACAGCGACCACAGTAATTGCCCCAGTAGTGAAAACAAAAAAATGGACAAGGCAAGTTTCAGGTCCATACCACCGACTAGTAAGGGAAAAAGAAGAGGAAGAAGAAGTAGGAAAGGAGGAGTTAGTTCAAGAGGCAGGCCTTTCAAAGAAATCGAAGGGAGTGAGGCAAGTTAAACAGGAAACTGAAGTTACTCAGTCCCTGACCTCATCAGAACTTCGAGACTTACGAAAAGATTACAGCTTCAGTCAGGTGAGCATATTTCTGCATGGCTGCTTTGATGCTGGGATAATGATGCCRATAGTCAGAAATTWGAAGGTCATGAAGCCCAACAGCTGGGATCTCTTGCTAAAGATAGAGAAATTGAAAGAGGAATTGGGAAGGAAGGAGCAATTTGCAGCCTTTGGAAACGGCTTATCTCAAGGGTGACAGCTAGGTATCCATTTAAGGAAGATCTTACAAAATCCCCAGGGAATTGGACCACTGCAGATGACGGTATCCAGTACCTGAGGGAATTAGCAGTGCTGGAAATTGCCTATAGTGATCTAAACGATAATAGGCTGTCTAAGGATCCAAAGGATGTTCCTTGTACACTCGCCATGTGGAGGAAGGTGTTTCAAGGCACCCCAGCATCATATTCCAGCAGCTTGGTGGCATTRTACTACCCGCAGATGGACACACCAACTGTAGAGGTAGAGTCCTTCTGGCTCCGAAATGTAGAAGAGACACTGGGTACCTCCTCATCCTTACAGGCCAGTACCCCAGCTTTTAGGGGCAGCCCCAGAGATCACCCCTCTCTGACCCCAGTCAGAGGGAAGGGAAGCCCCAACTACAAGCCACGTACCAAACTCTGGTATTTTCTGCCTGAGCAAGGGGAGGACATGAAGAAGTGAGATGGTGAACTCTCTAAGCTGAGAGCCAGTGTCCRTGAACTGAGAGGTAAAAGATCTGTTATAAAGGGGCCACCAAGGAAGACCATCAGTGTAGYTGCTGCAGAGAGACCAGAARACAATCAGCGACATCCCAGATATAAGAAAATTTCCATTTCCCACAACCCTGAWGAGGGAACTTCTGATAGGGCATCACAAAGGTCAGATAGTGAATACTCTGACCAGGAACAGGAATAGAGGGTCCCTGCCTTCGGCCAGGAGAAGGAAAGGGATGACAGGGTATACTGGACTGTGCGGATTCAATGGCCTGGCACGTTGGTTCCACAGAAGTACAAAGCTCTAGTAGATACTGGTGCACAGTGCACACTGCTGCCGTCAAACATAAGAGTGCAGAAGCTGTATGGATCTCTGGAGTGACTGGGGTATGCCAGGAATTGTCTGTAATAGAGGCTGAGGTGAGCATAACAGGAGACAGATKGCAAAAGCACCCCATGTGACAGGYCCAGAGGCCTCTTGTATCGGCATTGACTACCTCAGGAGAGGGTACTTCAAGGATCCAAAAGGGTATCGATGGGCTTTTGGTGTAGCTAYGGTGACCTCAGAGAAGATCAAACAGTTATCCRCCCTGCCTGGCCTCTCCAAGGATCCCTTCATTGTAGGATTGCTCCAAGTGGAAGAGCAACAAGTACCAGTKGCCACTAGGACAGTGCACCGACATCAGTATCGAACAAACCGAGACT